TGTTAGTCAGGACACGCCTGGAATATTTGATAACTCCATTCCTCCACAGTGTGACTGCGCCGATACCGTGGCCACTAGCGTCCGTTGTAAAAGTGTACATTTCTCTGACCCTGGGCACTTTGAAGGTCAGTTGCTGATGCAACATCCGCACTTTGGCACGCTTAAAATCCATAGGTGCTTTCTTGGTCTATTCAGATTTCCGATTTTGCTTGAGCAAGTGGTACAGTGGAGCAGCTATTGTGCTGAAACCCTTGGAAAACTGGCTGTAGTACGCTGCTCGTATCACGGATTCGCGGATTGATGCACAGTATCGAGGCTTTTGCCCAAGGTTCTTGGGTCGGTTTTATTCTTGTCGGTCAGTGGCTGTCGTTCACCTGAAAGGCGCAAGTGAAAAAAGAATGTTGCACTGCTCTTCATGTTCCCAGCGCAGGGCAGTATGCTTACCAGCGCGAGGATTCTCATAAATAAATGTCCAATAATGCCCTAAAGTGGGTTCTAGAAAGAGCGTGGACAACCGTCGGAGGAAGGTCATTCAACGCAGCTACTATCCGAAATGAGAAAAAATCTGGTGTAATGTGTGTGCTCGCTCTGAGCTTGAACATCTTCTTACTATATCCCTGTCGTGTGTTTTCTGCGTCAACAGTGAAAAACCTGTTTGCTAGGCCTGGTTGAAACAAGGCATAGGTAAGAATTATGTCCCCTCGGAGGCGACGGTACTCCAGAGGAAAGAGATCAAGGATCGCGAGACGCGTTTCGTAGCCCACGGATTTGAGGCCGGCAACCATTCTCGTGGCGGCTCGCTGGGCACGCTCAATGGGGGTGACATCTTTCGTGCCTACTGAGTAGACAACTTAGTTGGCGTATTCCAGGAGCCGTCTGACGTAGAGCATTTGGAAGTCCGTGTGAGTAATACGGGAGAATGTGCGTCGAATCATCCGCAGAATGCTTAATGCCTTTAGGGTGCAGTGAGAAGGACATGTTTGAGGAGACATGATGTCCAAATCCTTTTTGGCGTCTACCCTCATGATGTTTTCTGATCCTTTCTAACCATGCAGGAAAGGGCATTTGCCGATTTTCCTCCAAATGACATATGGACGCACTTGTAATCGTTCAGAGGAAGGTGCCAGTCGAATGACTACTGCTTTGCAGCGTCTACATTCATTTGGAGGGCACTGGCATTGGTGCTCCAGGATTTTAAGTCGTCCGCAAAAAGTAGACATGCACTTGCAAGAAGATCTGGGAGATCGTGGACGTAGATCAGAAACAGGAGTGGTCCCACGACGGAACCTTGAGGAACTCCAATGGAGACCGGCGCTGGTGAAGAGTAGGTCGATCCCATTCTCACTCGGAGTGATCTGTCTGATAGGAAAGCCTTGATCCAATGAAGGATTTTCCCTTGAATCCCGCAAAACTCGAATTTGTGGAGCAGCGAGACATGTGAGACCTTATCAAATGCTTTCGAGAAGTCGAAAATTATGGCACCCGACATGAGTCCCTCATCCTTGGCTTGGGTTGGGCTGTCCACAAACAAGAGCATGTTTGTAGCGCAAGAGCGGGTTGGGGGAAAGTAGCGCAAGAGCGGGTTGGGAGAAATCCGTGTCGAGCTGGAGATATCAGGTTGCTGGAAGTAAGGTGATCTAGGATAGTTCGCTTCAGAATGCGTTCCATCAACTTCCACGGCACACTAGTGAGGCTTATAGGCCTGTAGCCGCCAGGCGACAGTCGGTCACCAATTTTGTAGATTGGCGTGACAATCGCTTCATTCCAAGCAGGAGGAGATTACTTTCGCTAAGCGACTGACGAAACACCAGGTGTAAATGATTTGCCAGTGTTTACGAGGTTTCCTTCAGGAGCCTTGGATGAACCTCGTCGGGCCCCAACGCGCAGAATGGGTTGATCTCATGCAAGAGTTGACGAATGTCCTCCACCGTGAAGATCAAGTTGGTTAGAGGCTGTTCATAGTTTCGCCTTGACAAGAGTGGATGTGACGAGGACGCCGGGGCTGAGTATAGACACGCATAGTGTTCTCTGTAAACATCGGATACCACAGTTGGATTGCTGGTCGGTTCTCCGTTTCTGTCCCTGAAGGAGTACACAGATGGCTTTTTTCTGCGGCGTCGTATCATGTATTTCAACGTTTTGTTTTTCCAAGCGAGGTCTAGGATTGTGGCTTGTTTTCGTATGTTCCATTCGCGGATTTCTGCTTTACAGCGGTTCAGCATTTTACAAAATGCCAGCTCATCTTCTGTATCCCCTGTAGTCGGCATTTTGAAAAAGGTTGTGACCTTTTTCGCAGAATTCGCCAAATCTCTTTTGGCAGGCTGCAGCTCATCCGAGTGCGTGCTGGTCTTTTTGGGACGAAGATCGCGTCAGCCTCATGAATTTGCTGGACAATGGTCCTATATAAGCCTTCCACTGAAGCCGATCGCAGTTTAATTTGTTCAAGAAAGATGCACATTCCTAAAAAGACTGCGGGCAGAAGTCTCGAAACCACGTTTGAGGTTCGGGATTTCTGGCCCAATAGCAGATGAAATCAAATGTCAGCACACAGTGGTCTCTGTGTCCTAGTGGAGGGTTAACTGTTATTTGATCAACGAAGTGTCTTTTATTAGTGATGACCAAGTCTAGGAGAGATGGTGGTTGGCCTGCGCGGTATCCTGTGGGTGCAGCGACATGTTGAGTCTAAGCACTCTGTTGAACGACTTCAATCAGCGTCGCTGCAAATAGTCCCCTTGATTCGACGCGCTGGAGCTCCGTCCAGGAGGCCTTTGAAGCGTTGAGGTCGCGTGCCAGCAGGAGATGAGTGAAGTGGTAGTTAGGGGAGAGTTGCTCGAGGTTTCCTGTGAGGAATTAGTCATCTTCAGACAGACTCGAGGGGCTACGGTAGACCACACCGAGTAGGAGAGAATCGGACCCGCGTAGCGGGATTCGGACCCACAGTGAATCGCAAAAAGGAGCAGGATTGGTATCAGACAGGACAATCGAGATTGGTAGAACTGAATGTAAGTACAGGGCAACCCCACCAGCCCTCCTTCGTTTTGACTCAACTCGAAAAGTAGAGTAACCGTCTATCGAGTTCTCTGCGTCAGAGATATCTTATATGAGCCAGGTCTCTGAGTGCGATTATAGACGGTTATTCAAGGCGAGCTGACCGTTCCACATCATTGAGTTTGTTGAAAAGGCCGAGGCGGTTTGTAGACAAGCGTCTCAGCACTGTCTCTGCTGCCTCCGAGAGTGAGAAGCCGAAAGTTGAATGACCAGGGTGGTTAGCAGTCTTAATGGTTGCACGTTGCGTTTGAGTCCAAGGCTCCAAAGGGGCCTATGGGGGAATGTCGTCTGCTTCCTGTCTTCGTGGTTTCCGGGAATGCTTTTCATTTGCAGTCTTTTTCGTTCCGTGAGAGCCCGGCTTGATCGGACCTTTTAGCTTTGGGGGACGGTGTTTTTTTCCGTGGGCGAAAATTTCGACCGTTGCTGCCTGTAGCACCTTCAGCACCACCTTTTTGGCGACCAGATTTGCTGTTGATCAAAGAATTGCGTCAAACTTTCACCTTCCTGGATTCTTGGGTGTCTTGGCACGGTGTCACCGGAAAAGTGTCTCTGCGGCACCAAGAATTAATGCTTTTGGTGGCGCTCCCAAGAGACTCGTTTTCGCAGAGGACCGCACTTTGAAGCCAGTCAGCAGTTTTCTAATCTAGCGAATATTGTGTGGCTTGTTTGGCTGCAGTCGCTTTTCTTTCGTGTTTGTGTAGACACCCGATCCGCCGGAGATCAGCGTGGCCAACTGGATGTTCGTGGGCCTTTCCGGTTGGCTGTAGTCACGTTTATGGCTTTGGTTGCAGGGTCCTGGGCGACGGTTGTGCCCACAGGCAGAGGCCGCTTTTGACGGAGTGGAACTGGAAATTGGCTTTGCTGCTTGTCCCCGCACATCTAACTCAGTCCAGTTCAGAGGCTGCGGCTTTGGTGAGAAGCACATGGCTGCATTGTGTCGTCCGTTACGGAGATAGGAGTTGACAGCCCCACGTACTTTGGGGACGGCTTGCGTGTGAGGTTTGCCTCCTCCAGGGCATCACTGCCTCTTGTGGGCGAGAGGCATGTGGTCGTCAAATCTCTTTGACTTTGAAACTGCACAGTCCTTGATCTTTGCTTATTCTTCTGGCGGTGGACTAACCTCTCATCGACCCGCTTTATGCCCCAGTAGTGTCACCGAACTCCGAGCGAGCTGTGTCTTGGATTCAATTATCCTCACGCCAGTCTCCCGGATCCATTTCAACACAGCCTTCAAGTGAACCGCGTGGTCCGGTTCCGAATTGCTGTACACAAGGATGTCGTCTCCATACACGGCAACATTCTGGAGTAACTTCGTTACACGAAGCATGAAGCGCCGGAATGTGAATGGTGCCCCGGACAATCCAAACGACATACGTCTAAATTGATGTTAAATGTCCCTAACTGTAAGTGCCGTTTTCTCCCGGCCTCCGCCTTGATATTAAGTTGCCGGTGTTCGGAACGAAATTCGAACACAACGAAATATCGGGAATGCTGGAGGGCATCGACAATCTCCGCAGCCGAAGGCACATCTACAACCCGATTCAAGGTCGGTTCATTCAAGTGCTGGAAGTCCACACGAGACCTGTGTTTTTCATTCGCCTTCCTTACAAGCGCAACCAGGGAGTTGCATGCACTATTGGCTTCTTTGATCATGACATTCATCAACATCTCTTGAATTTGTTTATGGACCTACTACCGTTGATGGAGCGGCAACGGACGGCGGCCGTAAGGTCAAAAGCATTCTGACGATAGGAAAATCTCGTGTTCAATACACGGGCAGAAGGCGAACGGATCCTTACCGCCCGTAAAATGTTCGGAATATCCCTGGACCACGAACTACACTGAAGGCACGTTACAGGATGGAAGCCCTTGAGAATGCAGCTTACTTACGGCAATGCTTGGATAACCTTCAAGCTTGATTGCGACATACGCAGCCACCAGCTTTTTCTGCTTTAAGCCAACCGCGCGTGCTGCACGAAGTTGTCGCCCAGGCGCATCGAGTGCATTGGCGATCCGTCAATCTTCAGTCGATATCCACCCACAACTCTCACAGGTAGTGCGCATGGTCTGTATTCAGCTTGATTCTCTCTCCGCGACAGCGATGGCCCTAATCCTGCATCAGTCGATCACAACTCCTTCTTTCCGTCTATCTCGATAACAGCTCGTATGGTGGCCTGTGTCACTGCGCTAGTCTTAACCCACCCGGGAACAGGGAGGTAATCAAGATATTTATTACGAGGGTACGAGGGCACTGATTCTTCCAATGGCCAGGCCTGCCGCACTTGCAGGATCGGCTCGTTCGAGTGCACCTCCGCGATTCTGTCTTCATGGCTGCAAGCCGTTCGGCGAGTCGGTTTACTCTGGTCTGCAGTTCGTCCACATCCCTGTCCTCCTGAGGCTGAAACATGGTTAGTGGTCCCTCAGCCACTTTCCCTGCCAGATGCGTCAGTTCCTCCAAACATAACTGGCCAGTCGCTTTCGCCAACCGCAACTGAGTGCCAAGCAGTGGCTGCACTCCTCCAACGAACTGGTCAGATAGCAACTGGTGACGCGACCTCGATCCAGTCCCGGCAAAGCGCGATCCAACGACTGCTACACGCTGGCGGAGAACACTGTGGTGTCAGATATAGGTGATATCTTTGCCGTTTTGAACCGCCTCATAGCCTCCTGTCGGTCGGCCTGAGTGTCGAACTCCGCTGCAAAGGTTTCAATCGCGGCGGCCCCGTCCATCTTCCGAGGGCTTCGTCTGGCCGCATCCTGGGCTGCCTTTGCCCAGCCTCTGAGGAGGGTCTTCAGCGCCGCCAACTTACCGAGGTCGGTATCCAGTCCAGCAGCCTCCACAACCTCCTAGAAGTCCTCCAGGAATGTGGTATGTAGGTAGCTCGGGTGCGCTGCTTGATTGTTGGTGTGCTTGACGAGGTTGGCAGTTGGATTGCAAACGTTTCGTCACAAATCGGGGTGACATCGTCAGTGCAGGGTCGAATGGGTCACTCAACCCACTCGATTGGTGATGAAACGTTTGCAAACCAACGGCCAAGCTCGGCGAACAGACCCACAATCTAGATCCCAAATTCCTCATCCGCAATGGGTTTTGGCCACGGGATCTTCATGCTTATATCGGCGACGGTACAAAATGAAATGAAGCCTTTGCTGTGGAGTTATTTGTTGGAAAACGCCAAGTAAACAGTTACAGACTATCGGACAGGGAAGCAAAACTCTCACTTGCATGTTGTTCACAAAAACTAAACATCCATCTTCTTCTTGAACACGCCTTCCTGAAATTCCCTGGATATCATTGGCCGTTGCTCAAATGCAAGCAAATGCGACTCCACAAATTCCGTCATAGATCTCACTTTTCAAGAGACGCGAAACGGGTTTACGGGAAAACATACTACTCGCATGCTCCCGTCAGTAGTATCCATCGTCAAACAAGTAGGAGGCATGTCAGCCACCAACGAACCTCTGCGTTTATGGTACGCTTGTCCCGTTTTATCTCCACTGTTTATACATTCCCTCGTTCGTCTCCCAGTCGCGCTGTGTAGCTTCACCTGTCGAATATCTCCAGGTCTTCCTCTGCGAGCCCAATCAGGTGCGCATATCAGCCTACACAACTTAGTGTAGAGGTTCGATCGTCAGTTCTGCGTAGCCCTACTCGTTTGCTACATGTACCAGACCCAATATTCCCAATTGAGGGTCGTCTGGCTGAAGTCAAAAGGGGACCATTCTTTCCAGAAATCGATTACTACCTTTTTTCTTGCAACGCAATTTAGGGTTTAAAAATTTGCCCTAGAGATCTTCTCTTAATAATTTGAGGTCCTTTAGCGCCCATTGATCCACTCCCTCTGGTCTGCCAACGATGGCTCATTTTCACTGGGATATTTTGGCATTCATTCTTGGCAGTAGTCTAGCAACAACATAATTGTTCAGCGATGTGATAGAAATCTGGCACCCGGGAAGAACAGATAACAGAGTATGGCGAATCAGTGATGACAAAATAGATTATTAGCGCGGAACGCAGTCGATGTGAGCAAAATTTGCTGCTTTTTCAAATCAGTTTATGAAGACCCTATGTGTTCTCGAGATAAACTGGTGGTACGACGGCTCCCAATCCATGGATGTGTCAGCGCGAGGACAGTTTTGGTCTGAGCCACCAATTTCGCAACACAATTTTATGAGTTTCCGAGCATAAAAAGTGACCCTTTCGGGTGGATTGTTCGCGCCATATGTACCTATTAAAACCACCGCTTTGCACCGGTTCCACATGGGCGGCATCAGAACTGACATCAGGATTTTAGAAATTATTTTACCTTTCGGAGAGTTTACCGCGCTTGATATTTGAGAATTTTATCCTAGTTGAACGTTCTCTGGTCCGACAGGGGCGGTGCACAGGAACATCCGTTTTGCGCAAATCTAGTTGGGAATAGTTGTTATGGTCTCATTGTATACCATTTATTGCATCAACTAGCTAAATTCCATTGTACAAGAGGTAATAAGTAAACAAAACTTTCTCAACACATTTATTGTCCATTTGAGGAAGATTCTCTTGTCAATTGTGGTTAAAAATTATTTTCCTCCTGGAACTCGTAAGGAGGCTCACCGACCATCAACTAGTTCCATTGTACAAGAGGTAATAAGTAAACAAAACTTTCTCAACACATTTATTGTCCATTTGAGGAAGATTCTCTTGTCAAGTCAATTTAAAAATTATCTTCATCCTGGAACTCGTAAGGAGGCTCACCGACCACGTTTCCACTAGGATTCAAAGAAGATAAAAGGATAATTTGTCTACAGATGTATAGGCGTATATTCGTATATATATATATATATATATATGATACATAAATGACGTTCATCAACGGAACGAATAAATAAAAAGTCAATCCTGATTAATTTCAATTTTTTGCTTCAATGAGATTCTTAATTACAGATGGACCTCAGATGGATAGGGGGCTCACTCACGCTGGCGAATATTTACACACTGTATAATCGACGTCTTGCAGATAGCTCCCGTCAGCCGTTTGGAAACTGTAGCAGAAGTAAGTGCTACAACCAACTTCCTCCGTTTCTGCCCAAACAAGCTGGAAGGGAAATCGTACATAGTACACAGTTTGTTTCCACTTAAAAGCTACATTAGAGTCAATGTGCTACATGAGGTATGTGTTGAGTGGGGAAGGATCCCTATCAAGAACGCAACTCGCTATAATAAAGATCATTAAACAGCAAACGGAGTTCCCTGATTTCAAGTCCCTTCTAACCATGGGAAACAGCAAACAATGTAAAGTTTTAGGAATCAAACAGTTCACTTAATTTCAGAGAACCCAGTAACTCCAGTAGGTTGGAGTTACTGGAGGCAATTTTTGGGATGATGCAGCATTATCTATTTGTAGCGGCAGTGAACCACACAGTAAACAAACTTCTTTGATATGCTCAGGGTCTGGGTCTGAGTAATAGTAGAGACACAAGGGGATTCTTTGGAACCTACTAACTGCGTGTAGTAGGCTCGTAAAAGAACTAATATTCACCCCTATTGTCCACAGGGGTGCGTGCACTACCATCAAACTCTCACTCCGAAAATAGCAAAGCTCTTACGGTGAATATTCTGTCTGAGGACGTAACTAATACTAATCGGGCTGGCACAGTATTTGAAGCGCCAGATTACTGACCGGAAGGTCTTCTGCATCTCGACTTCTCTTGTCTAGGCATGGGCAACCTGGCAGTATCCCAGCCCTTGTGCTACCTTCGGGTGGCCTGGGAGATGGGATTTTGGAGGTGTTACAGCGGAACGTTTTTTATGCTAATCCATTTAGAGGAACTCAAGAGATGGACACAAGTGCTCGTTTGCACCTACTCCCCCATTGGAAGTCTCCTTACATTCAGAAACAGACGGGCTGTTTATTTAGATCGTCGGCAACACTTACAAAGCATGATTACAATGAATTATTAGCCGTTCCGAAAAGGTCCATCTGAATTAGCATTAGTAGCATCCACTCACGGAAGAAGTTACTTTAAATGAGCTTGCACAAACAGTGAAGAGGAGAATGACAAAGAATTGTCGACTCTTGGGCCAGGAAGCCCTTATTTTTAAGACAGAATCTTGCCGATATCAGCACACTTGCGTTACTTCCAGCTTCAATGGGCGCCTCGCACAGTATATTGGTTAATTAATTGTGGATGATCCACAGATCATTTTTGATCGCGTGCTGGTTTTTAGTAACACGTAAACGGACTCCATAAGAAGATGTTACCTGAGTAACAATCAGATTTGTTTCTAAGACAAACTGAAATAATAGTCTTTGATGAGCAGACAGTGTCAAAAGTGCAGTGAGGCAAACAAACTAGCTCGTGTGGTCTCAGTGAAAATGTCAGCGGATGGTTGACCGCTAAGCTAATCAATGTCATCCACATACGGAAACCAACATAACTTTGGAAAATTGGTTTCCAACTGGTCTATCCAATGTTTTGTCCTTAACTTGTTGAATTGAAAATATGCAGAATCGAGTGTATCTCCTTGACCTCAAATATTGATAGGGAGATTGCTGAAAAATTAACGAGTGGTTTTATTTCGTCGAAGAAATAAGCGTGTTTCGGCAATATTCGGGAAGCCAAAAGTGAAGTAGGGAACCGGCAACAAGGAAAGCAACATTTATTCGGATAAACTTTAGGGCCTAGTTAATTGCTGCCTGGTCGTCCGCGACACTCAGACCAAGAAGAGTTCACTGTTTTTATGCATCGTTTTAGTTTTCAAACTCTGAAGAGCACAGCTGCGGCAGCGGTTATGAATTGCCTGATGAAGAGGATAAATCCCACCTGATAAATACCAGGGAATAGTGGTTTGGAGTCCGGCTGGTCTTTGAAACTACTTGCTCAGAATATACACTCATTTGCAAACTAATTTTGTTTTTCGGGGGACTTACCTGGAACCCAGTTGAATCTCTCGTTTGTGATGTTTACACAAGCGAGATATTCACAAACGAGAGATTCAGCTGGGTTCCAGGTGAGTCTCTCGAGAAACCAAATTAGTTTGCAAATGAGCGTATATCCGCTAATTTCGTGCAATTTGGTTTCAAGTGGAACATAAGGTTGACAGAAACCCGGGGACTGCGCCTACCTAATGAGCCCCAAAAAGGTCGAAACCGGTCGTGGGCTGGCGACGGATTTTCAGCAACCTTATGGGTATATACTTGCTCAGAACTTTCGAAACTGTGGAAGCCAGTCGGACGGTGGGACGGCGGGTAAAAGAAAGTTTAGTGTTGTCACATGTTATGCGTTAGTTCCTGTATTTGTGTTATTTGCTGTGACTATAGGCTCATCCCTGCTGTTGGCCGCGTAGACCGAGTAACACTAGGAGTTGCTTAATTCTGACAGAGTGATACAACAGTGCTTGTTTACTAGTGTGTTCAACTTCCCAGCAGAGTCGTTAGACACAG